GGTTCTCTGACCTCATGCGAGTTCGATGTGGTTGTTTGTCTGACAGATGGGAGGGCAGAAGCACAGAGAGAAGCCACCTTGTCCCCTTTGTCCAGCTCAATGGCGTGAACAGGAGTCAAAGCCAACGGCCTCCGAGTCGCTGAGCACTTGGCGGTTCTCAGACCCGGTGGTTCCCCTGCCCCAGGGGACGCTGGGATACGTCTGCAGGGGTACGTGTCGGCCATGACTTAGAGAGGAGGGCGCTACTGGCTCCTGAGGGGGGGAGCACAAAGGATGCTTCTAGACGCCCCACATGCACATGACAGCTTCCGTCACAGGAATGAGGGCTCAGAAACCTGGTTCTCACTAACTCGCCTGCGTGAAGTGAGCGCTAAGCCATCAGGAGACCCTCCATCAACACATGGGAAGACATGTTCACATTATGGAACTAAAATAGAGTAACTCATGAAATTTCACTCTAGCATAGCAGCAGAGACAGGAAAGAGCCCGCTCCCGGTGGGTGTGGGAGGAGTGCAGCCCAGGACAGCAGGCTCTGGGGAGTTTTTGTCTCACTTCCCCATGGGCCTGAATCACTGTGCTTATAGCTATCATAACTAGACAGACAGTAGTAGTCGGCCTCGTCCTCGGGCTGCAGCCCCGAGATGGTCAGGTGGGCGATGTTGGAGGACCTGTCCACGGAGCCAGAGAACCGATCGGGGACCCCCGAGGGTCTTTTGTCATATTCATAGATCATACGGGTGGGCGCCCTGCCCGGGCGCTGCTGGTACCAGTGCACATAGTTGTTCCCAATGTTGCCGCTGCTGCGGGTGCAGGAGATGACGGCCTTCTGTCCCGGAGACCCCGACACAGACGGGGGCTGAGTAAACACAACCTCCGCCCAGGACCCTGCAAGGAGGGGGCGACACAGACATCAGAGGGGACAGCACAGACCCCTGGCCCAGGGAGGGAGGGAGAGGTCATGCTCCCGGGTGACAGTCAGGTGGTCCCCCAGAACTCCCCCTCGGGGACCACCTGTGCAGTGAGTCAGGAGGGCGAGGAGAAGGGGAGCCCAATCCATGGTGCACAGGCCCCACACTCTGCTCCCTGAGCCGCACAGCCAGGCTGAGCCCTCACCTTCTTATGAGCCCTGATCCCCAGGGGGAGGCTCCATGCAAATCTCCCCCTGTCTGCAGGCTGCTCAGCTCCTCCTTCACACTTGGCCTTGGTCCCACCAGAGAGAAAAGCCTGAGATGGGGCCTTATTCCCACAGAAGACCTGCCTGAGGCTGGGGGCGGGGCTGGGAGGGGGCACAGCTGAGCTACCGGGGAGCAGCCAGCAGGGGCTCCTACCACAGCGCCCCCTGGGGGACACAGGGCGCAAGTCAGCCCTTGGGGAGTGAGAGGGAAGCATGAGGAGGAGAGGGTGCAGGCCAGGGGCACACAGGTGGGCGGAGGGTGGACTCGGGCAGCCCTGTGCCCCCCTGGCCGCCTTGCCCAGGAAAGGGCTGGTCGTGGAGGTCTGGCCCCACTTCCTTCTGGCCGCCCCTCTCCCTGCGCAGTAATAAGGCCCTGGGCTCCAGTCTGTGGTTGGAGGAGGCGGACAGCTGGTCCCGCTGTCCCCTGGGAGCAGCCTGGGAGAGGCCACTGCTGGGCAGCCCCTGTCGGGAGGTGGAGGCAGGAGCTTCTGCTCAGAAGCCTCTGGACCCGCGTGTCTCTCTGTGAGCACAGAGCTCAGTCCCGGGCTGGGCGGTGCCTGACCTTCCCGCACAGGGCCTCCCTCAGGCCCTAGATGGCCCCGCCGCTCCTGCCCCTCCTGCCGCGGTCAAGCTCTGGCCTGTCCCATGGCTCTGACTTCCTGTCCTCTGCCCTGGCCGCTGGCTGGTCACAGGGATTTAAAAGCCTGTGGGGCCTGAGCTGCCACCACTTCCCATGGGGCTCAGATTTGTGTGTGTTTGTTGATCCTCACCCGAGGGTATGTTCCCATTGATGTTTAGGGAGAGTGGATGGGTGAGGGAGGGACAGAGAGAAACATCGAGGTGAGAGAATACATTGATTGGTTTCCTCCTGCGGGTGCTGACCAGAATCTGGGCCTAGGAGGAGCCTGCAACGGATGTACCTGCCCTTGACCAGAATCAAACCCAGGAACTTGGTCACGACGACACTCTATCACTAGCCACACCGGCTAGGGGCTAAAGTGACTAATGTTAATATATTCAATGTTTGTAGACACTGATATCTTAAGGGGAATAATTCAGTAAATAAATAAGAAGAAAGTGGAACGATGCTGGAGAAGTGAGCTGTTGCCTGAGAAACCCTCCATTTAGGATGGACAGGGAGTTAAAAGAGCGGATTTTTCCAGGCAACGTTACATCTCCTTCTTTTCTGTTTTACCTTAAATATTTCTTAGTTTTTAATGACAGCTGGAATTTGTCACTTTTTCCTGAAACCCTCACGTGAAGATGGAGTTAAGAGCTGAGGAGCCCGAGGGAGAGGAGGGGGTGAGTGAGGCAGCAGCAGAGGAGGGAAGAGGGGGAGGGAGGGTGTCACTGAGAGTCTGTGCTGGTTGTGACCAACCTTCTGTGGGTTTGATCAGAGAAGGAGAAGGTTGTGTCCATGACCAAGGTGGACACTAACATATCAGACATGATGGGTCAGTAGTGACACAGGGTTCACACTCATGACATTAATCTGTGGGGAGCATGACTGTCTGGGTGACCATGTGCAGTTGCAGACACAGGATGTGAGCTGATAGGAAACATACGCTGGTCTCGGCCCCTGGCCCCGGCACAGGCTCCTGAACCCTTGTCACTCCCTGGGGGACGGGCGGGCCTTTTGCTCTGAAGAGTTGACTCTGCATGGGCTCCTGTGATTGACAACTCAGGGCAGACCGTCATCACCTCTGGGCCCAGGAGTTTTGGTCTCAGTTCCTCATCATCTGAATCACTGTGAGCTCCTCTATGGTGTACAGTACAGTAATAGTCAGCCTCATCCTCAGGCTGCAGCCCCGAGATGGTCAGGAGCCCCGCATTGGCCAAGGCATCTTTGGATCCAGAGAAGCGGTTGGGGACCCCGGAGCCCTGGTGCTTCTCTGAGTCTGATTTATATTCTAGGAGGTACTGGGGAGGGTTCCCTGGGTTCTGCTGGTACCAGGATATGTAGTAGCCGCCAACACTGAGGCCACTGCTCACGGTGCAGGTGAGTCTGGCTGTGGATCCCAGAGATGCAGACAGGGAGGGCGGCTGAGTCAGCACAGGCTGGGAGAGGGAACCTGCAGACACAGACACTTGTCAGTGATGGGCAGGGACAGGGGACGGTTCCCAGGAGACTGAGCAGGAAGGGAAGAAGCCTGGTCCCAGGCCTGTCCCTACCTGTGCAGTGGGAGAGGAGCGCGAGGAGCAGAGGAGTCCAGGCCATGGTGCTCACCGCCCTGAGCCCACAGTGGGGCTGGGCTGCCCAGGCCTCCTTTTCTCCCCACCCTCTGCCAGAGGAGGGGCTGCCATGCAAATGGGAGCTCCTCCAGGGACTGCCCAGCCCCTCCCTGGGCCCTGGGGCTGGAGCTCAGCTCACACCCCAGACTGAGGAGCATGGAGGTGGGCTCACCCCTGGGGGGCCCTGGGAGGAAGCACCTGCTGAGACAGCACATCACTGAGCACAGGGCCCAGCCACAGGCCTAGTCTCCTGGGATGGATGTGCCCCTATGAGCAGCTGCATTGGGACCACAGGGTGGTCCCACAGCGCCCCCTGCTGGTGGCAGCACAACCTGCCCTTGGCCAGAGCCCTGAGAGCCCAGCTGCACCTGCAGCTCAGAGGGGACTGTCTCTGGCCTGGTCCCAAGTCCTGTGACTCTGATGCACTGGAGCCTCCCTGCAGCGCCTCACTCCCAGGAGGAGTCCCATCTGTGGGAGGAGCCATCATGGACACAAAGGACAGAGTGATTAGGTTTCCCCTCCAGTGAAGATGGTGCAACAGTCAGTGCACAGTGACCCTCATGTCCGACGTCACAGCCCAGGGACACCTTCCTCTGGTTACTGGGACTCACAGGGCTGTTCAGGGAATTTCCCGGGAACACACTCAGGGGCAAGTTCAAAGGAGGACTTTCCACCAGACCTTTCACATCATGAGATGCATGTGCAGGTTAGTAGGGATCTGATGGGATGGACTCAGACACATCATGGCTTCTGCAGGCCTCACATTGGCCAGTGGAAGGTGTCACAGCTCCTTCATTTCAGGAACTGACTTTCTATCATGTGTGTGGTGATCTGCATTTCTGTGTCCTGTGTTTCTAGTTAGGATTTTCTTGTTTGTCCTAAAATTTCTTTATATCTATATATATAAAATGGTAATATGGTAATTAGCCCGGATGCCATAACAGTCAGGACAGGTCAGGAGAAGGCTGCTCGCTCAGGTGAGGCCCGGAGTGGACACTGACATGGGCCTGGGGCTGCTCCAGCCGCGGCGCAGCAGCAGTCCCGCATCTGCGCATTAGCTGCAGAGGAAACACCTTTTTTGACCGCTCATTGGCTAAGCTCCCCGAACACCACTCGCAGTTCTTGGTAACTTGGGTGATAACAATCCTAGAGGGTGATCTAGGACTTTTCCACCTCAGACCTGAAGGAAAAAACAAAGATCCGCTGCTGGAGGGGCTAAGAAATGTCCTATCCTGCCCTGGCCAGTTTGGCTCAGTGGAAAGAGCCTCGGCCTGTAGACCACAGGGTCCTGGTTCGATTCTGATAAAGGGCATGTACCTAGTTGCAGGCTCTGCCCCGGCCAAGGCTCAGGTCAGGGCTCATGCAGGAGGCAACCAATGGGAGTGTCCCTCTCACATTGATGTGTTTCTCTGTCTTTCCCATTCTCTTCCATGCTCTCTAAAAATCAATGGGAAAATATCCTCAGGTGAGGATTAAAAAAAAAGAAAGAAAAAGAAAGAGAGAAAGAAGGAAAGAAAGAAGAAAGAAAGAAAGAAAGAAAGAAAGAAAGAAAGAAAGAAAGAAAGAAAGAAAGAAAAAAGAAAGAAAGAAAGGAAGGAAGGAAGAAAGAAAGGAAGGAAGAAAGAAAGGAAGAAAGAAAGAAAGAAAGAAAGAAAGAAAGAAAGAAAGAAAGAAAGAAAGAAAGAAAGAAAGAAAGAAAGAAAGAAAGAAAGGTCATATCCTATGAAAGAGACATCTTAAAAATGCCTAAAGAAAGATGTTATTTTTTCGTGGTGAAGGGACTGGAGTACATGTTGATGAAAACACCTTGGCGGCTGCAGTGGTCGGTAGTAGCGGCGCCAGTGGGATGATGGGAGTTGTGCCTTCCCCTGATCAGCTGGTCACCTCCCACAGAGGGAGGCCAGACTGTGGCTTAAGCCGTCAGTAGGACATTCCCTGAGGGCTCCAGGACTGTGAGAGGGGACAAGCTGGTCTGAGGGACACCCCTCCAGTGCACAATTTTCGTGCACCAGGCCTCTAGTTTTAAATAAAACTGTACCTAC